TGTTCATGAATATACAAGACAGAGAAATAAATATCATCTAAAGGATAACCTAAAGGATAAGCACCAAGTAGAAGATCTGATAGGATTTCTCACCGAAACAGAACTATTAAAACTCTTAGAGAACTTAAAGTTATAACATATACCTATACCTATTATCTATAACTTGTAAACAAGTCAGGCCAAAAAACCTCTGTCGTTATGGCCGTATGAACATAAATAAAAAAAAAATGATCGCACAAAAAGCCAAAAATTGTAATAATTTGTTTTCAAACCCTGAAAATAAATTAGATACAGCTCGTTGGAATGCTCTGTACTGCCCCTCCTAGATACACAAGTACAAGAAGATCGCGATCTATATATCTGTGGAGGATTTGAATTTTCCACAAAACAAAACAATTTTTAAGTTGGTAATACGCGAAATGCCATATTTATTTAAAAGCAGTGGCAAACCAATTTAATGGGCCACTAAAAAAAATTCACAATTAATTAATGAATGTTCAAGACACAGTTGCACTTGAAAGTGTTTGATGCTGTTGGTATAGGGAAATGTGGTATCAAACGGCGTAGATTTTCATGTATATTTCGAAAATGCAATAAGATACAGAGTGTTCTATTTAAAATTAGAAAGTTGCTATCGACATCCAAAAAAAAACGGAACTGAAACGATCATCATAATATTTTCTTTCGATAGATCATAAAAAACTATGTTGGTACGCAAATTTTGACTAATATAGGTACTTACTTTTAGGTACCGATTTGTATGAAACGGCCTGTATATGTAAAACAAAGTCGCGTATGTTATACCAGACTTATAACTCAAGAACGGATGGACCGATTTTCGTGATTTTTGATTTGTTCGCTTCGTGCCCGACCCGCATAGTAGAATAACTATTAAATATTGAAAAAAATATAAAGATAATTATTATAAACGTAAATAAAAAACGATCAAGTCAAATGTTTTCAATCTTACTAACCGTCAAATTAAAAAGTGCCGCTTAAAAATACGCAAATCTTCAAAATATTGAAAGTGTATACATTGAAATTTTGCAACAAATTTAATCTTCAGCATATTCTGAAACGATACCTCTTAAGAAATAAGTTTTCAAAAAATTTAAAATGTGCACGCGTGCACAGTACACTGTACAACAAACTAGGGTACCCGGTACGTAATAAAAAGGCGAAGGATCACGCATCCCCATTATTCATATTCTCTTCATTGCACCTATTCGTGCCCTACTGCAGACTCTAATTTAGTAATCTGCCTTCTTACGTGCCGGTACCGCTAGAAAGCAAAATTGAGTAGGTATATCCGTATATGTTAACGCACAATACTTTCAGCACAGTGTGCTTTTGCAACAAATCACCCTTCCTGAAACAGCATCTCTTAACTCACAAAATCCCAAAGGGTATAAAATGCATACTGATACTGTAATGTTCGTTCGGGATAGGTGATACAACGTTCGTCGGGTCTGCTATTATCTACAGGGTGTTTTTTTGTGAGATTTAAACGTCTCTGGGAAAGTGAAATAGGTGGGTTTTTAAAAATTTATACTTAGGGGTTCCCTCTGAAGGCCGAATCGATGTAAAATATTTTGAAAAATGGTGGCACGTAGAGTAACTTTGTTGTTATAAATGGCAACTCCTCTTTTTTATTGCATTTTTGGATCCTATGTAAAATTCAGTTCGTTTGATACCCACATTGTCGATATTTACCTACAATTTATGGTTTTTAGGTTTTTTTAATGAAATGACCATTTTCTTACTGCTGCATATGATTGAGAATCAAAATTGGCATATTTTGATATTACCTACTTATTCCTAATAGCTATCTTATCTTCAACAGTTCCTGACCTATTAGGTACCATTTCATTTAATTAATACTTATACCATTTTTTCGGATTTTCTTTTTAGTAGTGGCCCATGATTTTAGTTAGTAGAAGTTTGACATGTAGGCTTCTTGGGAATTGTGAAGCACTAAGAGAGGATTTCTAGAATTCCCTACGGGAACGGGAAAAAAACGGGATGTTGCCGAGTTATCACTCGAAACTGCGCAAGATTGGGGCTTGAGCCTGAGACCGGAGGTTTCTTTGAAGGCGTTTTAGGTGTACCTACTCCGAAATTTCTTCCCGATTTTCCCACGGGAACAGGGTCCTGTGGTATATACTATATTTTTTGTATATACTTCTTCAATCAGCAATTTCAATATTTAAGTCCAAACTTGAAAGACAAAAACCTGTTTAATTGTAGAATCAAGATTCCTTGTCATGTTAGATTGTGAGAGTGTAGTAATAAATGTCAATTCAAAATAAAGATTCTCATTCAAAACGACGACGCAAATTCACAAAGATATATGGAAAGCGATAGAATGACTATAAAATAGGGTCTGTAGACTGTACCAGAATGTACGTACCTATATTTGAATGTACCTAACCACTTTTTTTAGCGCATTTTTGAAAAAAATACGCTATTATATTCGTTATTGCTGGCAGGCCGGCTGTCCGCCTGAGATCTCCACACTACAATAGCTAGAGAATTCAAATTTTCACTAAAAGCTTTCTGCTATAGTGTAGATGTGCAGGCACTAGTCTATTTTGAGTTAGATTACTTGTGAGATCGATAATTGAAGAAAATAATTTCGATATGGGTTTCGGAGGTGCTATAATTTTACCGTTAGATAGCGCTACCAGTATAAAAACTTATTATTTACTTTGTGATTTGTTTTACAAAATGAAGACGTACCGTCAATTGAAATTAATTATTTAACGCAGCCAAAATTACTCGTGAGATCGATAATTTTAAACTTCGCTAATAAAATACTGACCTGCATGACCAAAAATGCGCTTTAATCGTGCATATAAATGCTGATTTACAACTTGTTTTAATTCCGGAACGCTATAGTACTCAAAAGTTGCGATTGGCATAGAAAAGAAAAAGTAACAAAGAAAGTTACACTTTTATATATCTTCCGGTCGCGCATGGCCGCCAAACTTTGAAAAAATTTTACAAGTACAGAGCGTTCGAGATAAAAGGGTCACTCAATATCTCTTTTATTTGGGGATATACAACAAATTGGTCAAATATAATTTTATATGTGACATTACGATCTGTCTGATTGCATATTCAAACTTCAGGAATCAGTTCCGGTATACCCGGAAATCAATGAAACTTTTGTTTTTCAAATAGGTACAATATTTTTTACGATATTTGAAAAAAGCAATCGATTTGCTGTAAGACAACATAAAATATGGATATTTTATGTTGTCGTACAGCAAATTGATTGCTCCTTCCATCGTAAAAGAAGATGCACGCATTACATCGGAAATGACACCGGAAGTTTGAATATGCGATCAGATAGATCGAAATGTCACCTACAAATGTATATGTAACAAATTGTTCGTATCTCGCCGAATAAAAGAGACATTGAGGTGACCCTTTTATCTCGAACGCACTGTATTCAAGAATTTTTTGTGACTATGGAATTACTTACAAGGGTCTTATACCACTTAAAATGTTCCTTACGTATTCCTTAAGTATTAAAAAATTACAGTAGCATATGTATATGACGTTTTTTTTACCAAAATTCTCAAGTTTTTTTATTCCCGTAAAACAAATATAACCTTAGTGATGAAAATAAAGTCCTCTTCCTCTTCTCTAATATTTTTTATCATCTTCTCCGAATTCTGCACTGGGCGATGTTTTCAATCTATATGGTGCAGCTCTTAGCTCGTTTTGTGGAACAAAACTACCCAGAACTCACCACGAGGAGGTGGCTGCACTTCGAGTTCCACCCACACCCTTCCCAACCAACCATCCAATGATAAGGGTGTGCTACAAAATTTGGATTGTTTTCTTTTACACCTTTCCATATTCACACTTTTTTGTTTCGTCTATTCTGCAACCTTACATTCCGACGTATGGGAAAAAGTGGGAATAGATGACTCTAATAAAGCCATCTCTTGCACTTTGTCCACATACTTTGCCTGTAAGCCTCAGTAACAACTTTAACACATCTTTCGACACTTTGAGTATGATACGGGTATCCTCTTATGTCCAAAATTGACTTTGAGTCACAGTTTGCTGCTTATTAACTGTGTTATGTCTTCAAAATGCTTAGCAACGGAGGAGGAGTAAGTTTCAAGGTGTTCCATTGTATCAATTCCGTGTAGTCTGTAGCTTCAAAGTATTATTTTCGAGCGCTTGGGTTTAGACGCGTTTTGAATGCAAGACAAAGCATTCCGAGACTTTAAAACTCCTGAATTTTGAAGCTACATACTACACCATGGAAGCAAATTCTTTCAGAGCCAGTAATTTTATTATATGGCAGACCTGACAAACTTCATGGGTACATTCAATTTCCAGTTCCCGGATGGGACACAAGCTCGATTTCGGCGTCCCGTCTTATCTCGTCCAAATGTCCCACTCCCGAATGGGACATAAACTCTGTCCACCTCGCGCAATTTTAATAATTCAGAAACCTTCGCGGGCATACGTCCAACCATTCCCCAGAGTTCTGGGCCCCAATGAGCCACGATAAAAACGGAATATAGGTTGGTCTTTGGTCTTTAAAAAACATTTTTTCTGCCAATAACTTTCTAATACTTTTGCAAACTCGTTTACATTAAAATTACACAAATTATAAGCGAAGGTATGTCGGTTTAGCATTTCGTGCAGAATTTTGAACACAGCTAAATATAAAATAATAATGTGAAGTAAAATTGATTGATATGGAGGTGCGGCATTTAATGACGTTGCGCCTACAATATCTTATCATAATCATGAAGCATTTCCAGCCGCACCTATTGATTCTTTGTGTTTGGAAACTGTAATTATATTTTAGAATTTACATAAACACTAGTTGGGGATAAATGAAAAATAACAATCTTTATACAATTCGATTAGTGGTTTCTCGTCAATGATTTGTGGCATTTCACTACTGCCGTGCCCTCTGCATTTGGGAAGCTGAACTAACCTTTCGCAATTTGCCTCAGTGTAGCACCACCCTGTAAATTTGTTTATGTACAATTTGAATTTGTAGGTTAGGATGCTTTTTCTCCAATTTACTTGAAATTGAAATGATCTAACTGTGGAAAATGTTTGCAACAAGTACCCAGTGCAAGCACTGGATGTTTACCAGCGAAGACGAACTTAACAAATTACGAGAAAATGCGAATTTTAAACATATTCAAACTTATGGTCGACAAGTTAGTGTAAGTAGTGAATCTACCCACCCCCTGAAATTTACAAGTCCTTACACTTTAGGAGGCAAACCGGTATGAGGTATTTCTAACACCCGACGAGGAGAAATTAATGGTTCGCAAGTATGAGTACCACTTACGTGACTTTTGCAAACGTTTCCAACCCCCAATGCCTCGCTGCGTTGTTGGCACTGCATTTCATTACTTTAAAAGATTCTACATCAACAACTCGGTGATGAATTATCACCCAAAGGAAATTATGTAAGTTGCTCGTGCCGCCGAATTGATTTCTACAAGTTTTCACATTTCAGGGTTACCTGCGTGTTTTTAGCTTGTAAAGTTGAAGAATTTAACGTTTCAATGATGCAATTCCTAGCCAATATAAAAGGCGATCGTGATAAAGCCTCCGATATTATTTTAAACAATGAATTACTTTTAATGCAGCAGTTAAACTTTCATTTATCCATTCACAACCCTTTTAGACCGGTTGAGGGCTTATTTATCGATATAAAGGTGAGTGCATTCTTTTGGTGGCATTCGATGTTGATTGTATTTGCAGACCCGTTGTACGTTAAACGATCCCGAAAGGCTTAGGCCCGGAACAGAACACTTTCTGGAGAGATCTTTGCTTACTGATGCAGTGCTTCTGTACTCTCCCAGCCAAGTCGCATTGGCAGCAATTCTCCATGCCGCCTCTAAATTGCAAGAAAATCTAGACTCGTACGTCACAGACACACTGTTTGGGGTCGAAGGTCGTGGAAAGCTCGACGAGCTAATAGATGCGGTCCGTGGTAAGTCTAGCAGTTGTATAGCGACCGTAAGTCATTCACTTTTCTAGGGATTCGTTCCATGGTAAAGATGGTCGATGTTGCTGTCGATAAAAACCACCAGAAATTGCTTGAGAAAAAGTTGGAAAAATGTCGAAATCCTGAGAATAATCCGGACAGTGAAATGTCTGTTGATCTGATTCTGTTTCATAAGTGTAACTGTTTTGTTTCAGTTACAAGCAACGTATGCAAGCAATGCTGTATGATGATGACGAATTGTACACACAAGTTGTATCAGAAAGGCAAAATCTGGATGATTCCACACTTGGCATGACTATTACATCCCCTGGTGCATAGTGGCTTTGCACTGGAGTACTGAATTTTCAATTGAAGATCTAATAGGAGATAAAAATTATTGTTTTCTTGTTGTAACTGTATTGTTATCATAAGTATTCATTAATTGAATTTGTATTAATATTGTCATTAAAGGTATAACAATGTACTCGACTACAGTTTATTAAGGTGCAAGATGGACTGCCTATGTGCCAGGCTAATGTTTCTTGTTTTAACCGCCCTTATTGAAAGGGATATTGGACAATTCAATATGTTAAAATATTAACTTGCTAGAAGTAATTGTCAGTGTAGTTATGTAATTGCTCAATAATTAGCACATAGCTATCTGCAATAGCTGATCATTGTGATTTTTTTGTGCTACCACACATAAATGTCAGGGAGCGACTGTCTCGGAGGGCTGCTCCGCGCCCTCTGTCTTTGGTGCCCTTGTGGTTTTATGTAATTGAGATGTTAGAACAAATAACGATATTAACGACGCAAATTTGAATGTCATACATGACGTTCTGTTGCTTTATTATTAGTTTTACATTGTGACCATGATGATATTAAACCCTGGGATGGCGCGGCTCTGAAAGTGCAGAGACACGTCGACTAGAGTAACCAAGGTGCTGATTGTGTTATGCAGGCTCCCGCGGAACCATCTTCCGGACAAGTCCATGGATGAAGGACGTTCTTTCACAGGGCGGGAAGCCTGGTATAGGGACTTCCTTGCGTTTGACGTCAAGTAGGTAGGGACCGACAAGAAATCCAAATTCCAACTTTTTAGGGACAAATTATACAAATAATTTGGATTGTTTTCGTCAAGATATCCAATTTTTATCGACAAATTATCCAAATCCAAATAAAGCGACAAAATATCCAACCAATTTGGAAACTCCGATTTGGATATCTTGTCGGTGGCGCGACAAGATATCCAAATATCGAATTTTTTTTAGACAAGAAATCCAAATTTTTTGGACAAAATATCCAAAAAATTCGGAAATTTTTTGACAAGATATCCAAACTTTTTTAGACAAGAAATCCAAAAGGTTTGGACAGTTTTCAACAAGATATCCACTTTTCGAATAGATAAAGGTACGCCGCTTTTTCGTGTATTTGATCATTATCTATACGTTTTTAACAGCAGTTGTTTTCAGCGTGAGAGCTTTGTGCTTGTCAAAGTGCTGAGCTTTAAAAGTACTTATTAATTACGGGACCGACAAGAAATCCAAATTCCAACTTTTTAGGGACAAATTATCCAAATAATTTGGATTGTTTTCGTCAAGATATCCAGTTTTTATCGACAAATTATCCAAATCCAAATAAAGCGACAAAATATCCAACCAATTTGGAAACTCCGATTTGGATATCTTGTCGGTGGCGCGACAAGATATCCAAATATCGAATTTTTTTTAGACAAGAAATCCAAATTTTTTGGACAAAATATCCAAAAAGTTTGGAAATTTTTTGACAAGATATCCAAACTTTTTTAGACAAGAAATCCAAAAAGTTTGGAAAGTTTTCAACAAGATATCCAATTTTCAAATAGATAAAGGTACGCCACTTTTTCGTGTATTTGATCATTACCTATACGTTTTTAACAGCAGTTGTTTTCAGCGTGAGAGCTTTGTGCTTGTCAAAGTGCTGAGCTTTAAAAGTACTTATTAATTATAATTTTAATCAGGCATGAACCTTGTGTGGTACAAAAAATTCCGTATCAGCATTTCAGTTTCAGTGTTAAAACACGGCATAGCAATTAGCATTCAGTATGTTTTTATACAGCGTTTAATAGTGTAGTGTAGTTTAATAATTTATCTGCCCAAACCGAAACACTCTTTTTTTAAAAAATCACCGACATACCGCAGTATATTTTACTATAACTTATTACCCTAAACGATAAAAAGTAGCCGATCACTGCAGCAGTTCAAAACTAAAATACGTTTCCTAGCGACCAATGTTATTTACAATGAAGGCGAGTACCTCTCTGTATGTGAAAATGTTATTGTCTATTAAATGTTTGTTAGTCTGACGTTGTAATACAATTGTACATTATTTTTTACGAAAAATAAAAATGAAATGAAAGAACTCATTTATTAGTAGGTAGGCCCTAATTCTTTGACGCTGTATTAAAACATAAATGCTATGGCGTGCTTTAACACTGAAACTGAAATGTTTCGTACTGCACAAGGTTCATATGTGATTAAAGGCTTAAATAAAATTTGGATTTCTTGTCTAAAAAAGTTTGGATATCTTGTCAAAAAATTTCTGAACTTTTTGGATATTTTGTCCAAAAAATTTGGATTTCTTGTCTAAAAAAAATCGATATTTGGATATCTTGTCGCGCCACCGACAAGATATCCAAATCGGAGTTTCCAAATTGGTTGGATACTTTGTCGCTTTATTTGGATTTGGATAATTTGTCGATAAAAATTGGATATCTTGACGAAAACAATCCAAATTATTTGGATAATTTGTCCCTAAAAAGTTGGAATTTGGATTTCTTGTCGGTCCCGCCATACACGATGCTGTTTACCGGAAGGCAGGCCTTTCGATTTGCAAACCCGAGGCAAACCGTAGCGTTAGTGGTTATATTGGCCGGAAGGCCCGGCCTGAACTCTCGGCCTTCTAAAAAACTGCTACTTCTTAAAAATTTACCTTCGGGCTATGATTTCTTCTGTTTGTCAGGCAACAAACAAACTGGGAATCCTATTAACATCTTTAGAGATCATGGCTATAGCCCTGTTTTGTTCACACTACACTAAAAAGTGACAAAAACCACGCGAATAAAACGTAGAGTGTATGGCTAAACCGAGAGGGCCTGCCTTCCGGTAAACAGCATCGTGTATGGCGACCACTATCATATTATCTTATTGTACCATGTCATATCGTATCATAGAAACCATGGTAGGTATAGGAACATCATTTCTATAGCGGCGATCATTTGTTGGTATAGCAACCCGAACTTTGTTTTGTTTAGTAAATAAACAAATTTGCGGTGACAAATTTTGGTGGAAAATTACAAAATTGCTACGTCCCTTAAACATGTCTTCTGACGCTAATAAGGTCTCCAATTTTATTTTACGTGCCTTGAAAGATCAAAAGAATCACTCGTCGACGAATGTTGGTGTATCTGAAGAGCAATTGCGGAACATTCTCACGGACAAATACCGTTTCGAACGTAAGTACGAAGCTTACATTCGGCCAATGCTACAAAGTGGAATACAGTTTGGCGTTATACGCAGAGCCGGGGACAAATATTATTTGGGGGATGTTTCGCTAGACATTGTTGAGGGTCGTCGCCGTAGGAAGAAGGGTGGTTCGTCTAGGAGCCGGTCACATGGTAAATCTAAACGGGGAAAAGGTCGAAGAAGGAAGCGGAGTGCTTCTTCCTCAAGTCGTTCCTCTTCCCGTGGAAGAAGCCGGAGCAGAAGACGCAGGGGGCGATCGTGTAATTAGACCTATATGTTTGTGGAAATTATACTATTTCATTATCATTGTAAATCTTTTGCGGTTATAAAATATACATCTGTAAATAAATTCACTAGCTTTTGGTAACGGTGAATTATTCACCGTGCTTTTGGTGTAACTCGTTTTGTCTATAGGTTTTACTCATTGAGTTAGAAAACAAATGGAGGGAATCAAATGCTTCGCCAGACGTAGACCACGGGAACCAAAAGTGGCCTCTAACTGTGATTAAAGTACCACACCACTTCCGTTATCATTAGCGTCTCACTTCAGTGGCGTAGAGATATAATTTTCTTTCCACTAATAGGAATAATAACAAAAAAACGTATAGAAGGAGTAAAATACATGCTCGTGGTAAAGTAAACAAAATAGACAAGGATGGGAAAGTATGCAGATTTAATATAATCATTGATTACAAATCTAAATATACATCGATGTGTTCCAGTAGTATAATTAAGGCCAGTTTTATACTATAGCCACTACAACTTGACAACTCCCATTAAATTTTGTTGATCAATAGCTACAATTTCTGGTTGGTCTCAGCTTCATTACAAGTTTTGATAGTACCTACTGCATATTTGACGAGATACTTGATGAACATTTTCCGGTGCAACCTTTGGTCGAAATCACAGCAATGAAGCGTTGTGAGCACAAAAGTAAATTTTGAGAGCAGTTCTCGAGATATATTTACAAATGTTAGGTATCCATTTTGCTCGAAGTACTGGTTCGTTTGGAAAACTAAGAAACATAAACTAGGTACCTACAACATGATAAATGACATGTCTTACCGATGAAAGGAAATGCCCTGTTTCTTCCCTTTATGAGAAATTTTGCATGATACGCAGCTAATCTTTCTCAATTCACAAAATTGCGTGTGATAAAAACACTATGCGGCAGTTAGTTATTTATATAAACCAGAGCACAAACCGATCCGAAATTATTAGGTACTTTAAAATGGCAAATTTAATAAAATTTGAATTTGGTGGAAAACTGACAGTGACAGGACCCGCGTTTTCATGTGTCAAATAATGTCGGCCAAAATGTACCTTCACGGGAACTTATCCACGCGAGTGGCCTCTATCTGTGGCAACTTCCGTCTACAAAAATTCTTACCCCCTCTACCATTATATTCCCTCCATTAGTTTTCTACCTCAATGGTTTTACTTAAAAAAATGGATCGACGTTAATACCTCAATGCAATTCAAAACTCTATACAGTTTACGTTACGTGACCGCTGTCATAGAGGAATGCTGCTGTATTCGGAGCGCGTACACTTCGATACAATGACGCTTAACTAATTATAAAAATCCCTTCGCTATCATATAATTTCTTCTCTACACTCTTATGAAAAATACCCCTTACCGATACACTGTTAAGTCAAATTCTACCCTACTGTAGTGTAGAGGGTAAAAAAAATTTAACTTCGTGATAAATTTTAGCCCATTAAATTGCACGCATAAAAATTCTACATTTTGGGAAGAATTTTTGGAAAAAAACAGTAACAGTCCAAAAATGAGAGCCAATTTCTCACGGCACCTTATGTTTAAACACTCGTTTTCGGTTGCTAGTTGTATTGTAATTGCACCCATTATAGTTCGGTACTTCGGGATGGAGGTTTGAAAGTAATATTAATCTACAAACTTGAGGTAATAGAAAATGAAGAAAAATTTAAATTTGCGAAAACTACTCAATAGTTCTTGATAAATTTAAGAATTATTATTTTGCATGGAATACCACCCAGGAAAAGGAACAATTCAATGTCTTCCCTGCATCATATCTTTGTCTACAGTCTATTGGGGGGTAGTCCATGTACACTCAGAGCTCAGACCCCTCAGACCCTATGGTCGCTTTCCATAAATTATGGAACTTCAGCACTTATAATTGAAGAATAATAAGTAAAACTTATAGGAAAAAACCTCCCTAATCTCATTTGACAATGATGGCCCTGATTAAGGGTTGCGTGAAACTATAATTAGGACTTTATAACGCTTTATAGAGGTTATTAATTGTTTCCTCAAAAAAGGCTTCTCAGACATTTATGACTGTATAACTAATAGGGGACGGCTTACTTTGCCTCCTGGCAATGATGAGTAACTTATTTTATTAGGGTCCGTGAGAAGTGTTATAAAATTTTTTCCAAACTAGGGTAGTTTTTTAACCCACAATAACCGATTCTAGCCTTTCATTTGTGAGCGTTTAAATCAAATTCTAGCGTTTGAGTGATGAGGTCTCAGCGCTCAGATCTGAAGCCTCGAACGGACGAAACGAGAACACTGCACCCAACCTTTTGCGAATTATTTGGTTTATTTCGGTCGCAGAGATACCACATTTCTCTATACCCATCAACATAAAAAATTTTTAAAAATTTTGACGTTCATGATTGCTTTTCTTTTGAGCCCTGTACCCTTAGATCAATTATGGGCGATGCCATCTAAGAGATATGGAAGAAATCGGCCCAATCTATCACAATTTCATTGGTAGAAATTTCTTACCAAAATCACGATCGCGTGCATTATCAAAACTCGGGCAAACCGAAATAGATACCAAAAATTGATTAAATGATGACTGCGTGTTAACTTATTTTAATTTATTTATTATGTTGAAAACGTCTCGAACCGACAACCAATCTTACATAACGATAAACAAAACTCACCCTTATACGTGGGATAATGGTTTTACACGAACTGAGCGCCGTACACTACAACCGCACTCGTAGGCGATTCATTTACAAATGCTTTTCGTTGAGTAATATCATTGAATAAAACCCTCATTTTGTTCAATAGTAATAGGTATTGTATAACCTTAGTATAGATAAACAGAAACAGATGCAGGCCACTGACTACCTACGTACCCTCATGGGAACTCGCGTTATTCGGTTTTTATAAATGCGGATATGAAATAACATGAAATGGATAAACCTACACGGAGCTATTACTTACCACCTCCCCTCTCCCCCCATGCCATCCGACGAAGGGAGGCGGCCAATTTTTTGGGGCCTCGGGGCACACAAAGTATTAGGTCAATCTTGGTCGATCTCGGGCAAGTCCTTTTTCAACCAAATTTAGCGGCAAAAATGTTTCATATTTCATCAAAAAACAAACAGTTTGAAATCGATTGGAAAAACATTTTTCTTATAAATATTCGCGCTTGTACAATTCAAAACGACCAGAATTCTCAGGTTTGAACCGACTCCTTACATTGAAAGTTATGACCAATGGGTTTTCGCCCATAACCGCATAGTGGCCCAGCCTGAAAATTCTAGTCTTTTTGGATTGTACATAAGTTAAAAACCATCATAAGAGAAAGGTTTGCCCAGTTAATTTCCCCAAGGCGATTTTCTACTGAAGTCTAGCTACTCTTTTTGCTATTTCACCGAAAAACGACTAGTCTGGTAGCGACTTTTATTCTACAGGACAAAGATCTATATAAGAACAAAGTCTTCCAGTTGCTCAAATTAGTCGTTTTTCGCTAAAATAATAATAATAGGATAATTAGATTCTACAGGCAAAAATCTAGAACAAGAAGACTTTTTGCAGGGGATATAGGTGCGTTTTAGTTAAATAACAAAGAGAATATACCTCGATTCTTTGGAAAAATGACTTATTTGAAATTACAGGAGTCAACTTTTTCAAATAGACTGTGGAGTCCAAAACTTCCAGGACGATCAACTACCAAGTATGTAGGAATGTAAGTACGTACACCATAAAGTAACAATGCGTTAATTTGCATCTACTTGGGCCAGGCCATAAACAACAAATTATCAAATGGTCAGAGAGTCTAATTTCATTTTTTGTAATTTACTTATAATTATCGGTAGCAAATAGGTACTTTTACAATGAATTTTTTTCTATATATATTTGTAAACCAAGAGAATCTGTTTTCACAGTATGTAAAGGTACAACATCAGGTGCGGAAATCTTAAACTCTTGCTCTTTCACTTGCAACCAGGGAAAATCCTAAAACTGACCGTCAGAAGCAATCGTTACTTTAGAAATAACAACCTCATATGCAGAATTACTATTAAATGATATATTTGAATATTCCGTAGTGTGGAGCATAATTTTAAAAACGGCATTATCAGGAACCGGATCTAAATAGGAACATGCAGTTTGCAATTTAAGACAAAAATCACGCAAATCTTGCTCCAATTTTAAATAAATTTGATCCCTAAAAGAAATAATAGTATTATTATGCACAACTAGAGCACTATGTCTACTTATTAAAGTTGTTCTGTATTGAGAGAATGTCAAATACAAATCGTTCGTGGATCGTCGCTTCAGCACCGATAATACACACAAACAATTTCCGTAATGAGCATGCTTTCGCATGATATTTGACCGCTTTTAAACTTTCAGTAATGTACTCGTTCAGTTGGGGATGTACGGAACGATGAACTATGACACCATATTTTTTTCGCTTTGCGAAAATTTGCTTCGGGTACAGCTGCCTCAGGTAGAGTATATTATGAATAACCACTTCGCAAAATTCGCATAATATGTTGACAATAACTACAATAACATGAAGTTACAACTACAAGTATGAATGTGAAGGATGTAATACTTTCGTCAGCTTTTGAGTTCATAACGTTGTAGAAAGCCGTTGAACATTTATCTATTTGGGTGTTTTATGACTTTGTAATTGAATTTAATTATAAATTCAATGCCTTTGTCTAATTTCAATTTCTGGAAGATTAAAATTAGGTTAACAATTCAAAAACTTGTATAAAATTTGACATCCAACTGTACAGGATCAATGATCATAAAACACATTTCATTATTAGTAGTTCAAACAAATCTGGTAGATGCAATACCCAACAAATTTAAATTTATAATTAATATACTACGAGATCAAAAATGAATTGCTGTCGGTGTCATCACTTTTGGAATTTTTGTTTACATGATGTTTCGTACTTAAGTTGAACTTCCGAAGGCGACTCGACCGCCACTCATTTTAATCGCTCGTTACTATTTGTAATAGAAGCGACTGTACTGGAAAGAAATATCCAACAGCAACGTTTCCTCATTCCTCTGGTTACCCACACCACCGAATAAAGATACGTTATATTATTCCGTATTCTGTTCCCACACTGAGCTACTTTAACTTACACTCATTTATTGTCCCTTTCTTGTTCTGGGTCCACAATAGGCTTTCGCCCAATTACAAAGTGACCCCCATAATGGGGCATAAAGGTGCCCCTGCAGGAGGTCTCAAGTTGTTCTATATTTCGGTATTTACCTTACAAAACCGGCAGACAGCACCTTACAATTTTTTACAGCATTACCATTTATTAAAAATATATTACAGAAATGAAAATAGCTTCTATTTTTATAACAAAATTAAGAGTGTAAAATTCACTTTAAATTTCAATAAATATCAAAAAATCAATTACTCAACCATCATTGAAGACGGATAAACTACAAAAGCAATATCTCTGCAAGCTTAAGCATCTCTTCCAGTCTGTAATAAGGCCAAAGCTTTTTGAAGGTTATCAATAGCAGTATTAACGTCATCGTATGCTAGTGCAGATGCAGCCCATTTGCAAAATTTTTGTGCTTTTTCCATATCCTCTGGGTTTAAACTACCACTAGCAGAAGGAGAAATTGTAGGGGTTTGAGGAATGGGTGTCGGTTCAGGTGCCACAGGAGGTAAAGTGCGAGGAGCAGGTGATGGTGCAGGCGAAACGTAAGGAGCAGGTTCGTTCTCTGGTCTACTGCGTGGCGTGTTGTCTGTTGACGGGTGAAAGCCAGCATCATCCGCCATGTAAGGATCTCCATCTTCACCATCGTAGTCAGCTGGAGGACCCGGAACTGGGATTTCGCCAGATTTAAGGCAATTATGAATGTACGCAGCTTTCCATTTGGCGTATTTACGTTTGTTGCTCATTTCATCACTTAAAGTGCCAAACTGTTGAAGTACATCGCACAAAATTCCAGCCGTATAAAAAGCCTTGACTACATTTTTCCCAAATTTTTCAGCTCTATCCTGCCCATCAGCGTAATTAAATAATTGCAAAATATATTCCTCAATTAAAGCTTGTGCCACAGTCGTATTGGTGATACCCTCTACATCCGCATGATTTTTTTTAACGTCTTCGAGCCAGCTCATGATTGCTATTAAAAATGCTGTAACTTCTGGAGGTTTCTTTCCAGTAATTGATCTCATTACGACTTCACAAGCGTACATACGACCTATATTGATCAAAACATAAATAAGTAAATAATTTAAAGGTCAGATTCTTACTCCAATAACTGATAACGACATTTCGATCATCGTGTTCATCTGCCACTTTCATGTAATGTGCAACATGTTTTGCAGCAGGGGGAATCGGCGGAAAATCGGGCATTCTTCTAAAAATCTTAAATGTTAAAGAACATAAATACACCCTAAAAATAAGGAATTACGAATTTGTTGAATGACAGTTTTGGGACCTTGAAACATATGAACTACCTGATACTGTAATCTCTAACAAGCAAAATTTATACAAAGTTTGTATTATGCCTACATATTGCAATACGTGAATGTACAGGGTGGACCGGCTATGTCATTAATTTGAGTGGTAAGAGCCAAAATAAATTACAAATAAAAAAACCGACATTTCTTTGTGTTTCAACATCAAAATAATCAATGCAAAAATTGATATTAATTCGAACCCGAGGAATTACCGCCTTATTTGTTGTCAGGATTAAAGACTGGATGACCAATCAATTCCAGGCTCAGTGCAATTGGACTCAAACAGTCTAGCACCTTCTTATCGGGCCCCTCGGCAAATGTAAATCTTTTAAACTTCGAAATTAGAGGCCAGATCAGGAAGATCATCAGAGTCCTCACGGGGCAGTGGATAGTCATCATCAGATTGGGTTTGTAGAGGAGCCCATGTGTACGTTCTGTAGTAAGAGATGAAACTACCTAGCATGTGATCTAATACTGTGACGCGTTGATCAAAGACAGGCATTAGCTCTTTGGTCACTCAGGAAGGGAAGTGAAGCAGTTTAAGGCTAAACAGCTAAGGCCCTATCCTGCCTCGTCGAGCACCCCTTATGAATAGAATATAACTAGCGGGTACACTTTATTATATATTAAAGAACAAAACTGCCGAAGAGTTGTTTCAGATGACTAAAAAAAATTCGTTAAGCGGCGCGCTTGCGAACAAGAGACGAACAGGTCACTTTCAAATTGGTGTTTTCGATTTTAATAGCCCTTATGCGTTACGTTAACAAGAATACAAATATGAAATAATTTTTAACACACTTTTTATTTTTTGAAAGTGAAAGTGCACTAAAGAGTTATGGAAATATTGTCGAAATCATCCGAGTATATTCGACCATACGCTTCTCTCGCCAAAAGCAGTTTTTGTGCACTTTCACTTTCAAAAAATAAAAAGTACTTTTACGCTGTTCATGTCTGCCAAGTCACAAAAGCTCTGGAACTAAACCACTTATAGACTTGGTATGTCATCAAGATTAGAAATTAAAAAATTATTTCATTTTGTATTCTTCTTAAGGCATAAATCCTCTATATTTTTCCTGTTCTACTACAAAAAGTTAGCCTCCACCCTATATATGTACGTTACTAAGTGCAAATACAGCCCTGGGATACATACCCATGGCGTGGAGGGACGTAAAAGTCGTATTCGCCAAGCTTAATGTCGCTTCTCCTATTTAAGTAACTTATTGATGACTAAACGCATTAGGCACCTGGGCGTGTGGGAATCGCAAACAGCTAGGTTGCAGAAGAACATGTTAGTGCAATTCATTCATAGGACCCAAACTGGCCTGTGGGATTACATATAACACAGCCAAAAAGGAGATTCAAGCAAAATTCATGAAGAAACTCCACACTCTGGTCGAAAATTCCAAGATACAACCATTCCAAGATCTTTCTGGAAACATAAAATACAATAACAGTCTGGGACCACCCCTAGTACCTACTACAATAATAATAATGATAAATTGCTACTATACTTCATTCATTATAAGAAGGTAGTAGATGGCGCTGTGTTTGAAGATAAGGACCTTCGATCATACATACTCCCGTAGATAGCGCTTAATATAGTTAATACATGTGTTAAAAGTGAGCCAACATTACTGACAGAGAAACCTTATTTTTGTCTCACAATTTTTAGTATACTTGCGCACTAGCTGCTATAATCAGCTGTGGAATGCTTTGAATTGATGCATAGGCGTAGAAGATGTTTTTTCCAAGGGTAAAAGAATTGGCAAGTAAACTAGTAATTATTTTAAATTTCGGTGAAATTTTACGTGCTTTAACTATTACAAGAAATGTATAGAGTAAAAATAGGAATGTGTACATTTTCGTACTAATTCGAAATTTATGCACAACCAATTTAAAATGGCGGAATTATTCACTTTAATTCGTGCTTTTTTTTCTCCATAAACACTATGCACGATTCTTGAATAAAATACACCATTTACAGACATACTTTCAGAAAAGTTACAAATATGGGTGGGTACCTACTTGGGTATTATTGGACTCAATACACTCCAGGAGTATTTGGTTCTGCATCAATGATTTGAGAATAAAGCTTAGGAGTGTTTTGTCCAAAACACAGCAACATGAAACAGATGTGCAAAATTAGTATCAAATTTGTCTTGATTCAGAAGTCGATGCCGTAGTGTCAAGTATTCCTGGCCATGATATTAATGCTGCGTTCGGATACTCAACTCTGAGTGCACTGTGTAACTCCACACGCACAAAATCATTTGGGAACAACCAAAACATGCTGTGCATAGAGTTAACACAGTGCTCTCCGAGTTCAGTATCCGAACGCAGCATAACTAGACTGTAGTATTAGGTATGATGCAACAAGAAGTGAAATATTACATCAGATAAAAATAAACATACAGAATTCTTTATTCGTTTTTAAACAATGTTAAATGATTATAAAATTTTCTAATCCTATTCTCCCTCTCTGATGCCAGTTTTGCAAAATAATGTAACCTAATATTAATGTAAGTTTGAATGATAACATCAATCAATTGATTCCTATGATTATTTAGAACAGTTTGATTTAACATATGTTGCTGCATTGCAAAAGAACTAAAAATATTACTATCAACTAAAAATTTGGTTTGGCAAGCTAAATACAATTTTATATTATTCTTTACAAATATACATGCCTCATTTTGACGACAAACACGCTCACAAAGTAAACAGAGACGATGAACGTCTTTTGATGCCTTCGTAAGGCCTCCCCTATCCTTTATGTTTATTAGTAGTGAAGAAGAGTCTTTTGATACAATGTCATTCAAGCATATTTCACAGTCTAAACCTTTTCTCACTTTTCTTACCACAAATCCGGACATATAACCCACTACGTCATTAATGTATGGATTTAGACCAAAACTATCATGATAGGCATGATCTAAAGTTATATCGTCGTGATCAATTTCTAGCGTGCTTGTATCAATTAAATAGTCTACGGGTTCTCTAACATGCGCGGATGTTACATGCAAAATAGTGACCGATTGATAATCTATACAATTTCCAAATTGTGATCCCCATACTTCATGCCGCACTAGCATGCGCTTATAGATACGTAAGAACTGTAGCGCAGTGGGGTTGTTGCTGTTACCACCATAGCTTCTAACAGCAGAAAAAAATACCTCTAAATGGTCTTGACTTAATTTATAAGATAATAAATATGTCATTGAGGTTTTTTGTATTAATGTTTTATAAATGTCTATAAGATTAGTTAAACATATGATTATTCCCAAAAATCCTGTCTTCCTAGTAGAATTAATAAGTAACATATTATCGCTAGTCTTCAATTGAGCTATATACTTAATACAACCATTTATGTACTGAATATAAGCTTCACAAGTTGTTTGAGACATACATTGGTTAAACTCTTTTTTCGAAAATTTATTTCTACTGTTTAATAAATCAAACGCATTATTGATAATTTCGCAAAAATATGCAGTGCTTTCCGCACCTTGAAACTCGGGCAATTTTATTTGCTTTTCACAATATAATAATGCACTTGCTACACTTGAACTTAATGTTTGTGCAGCAAGTTTCACATTCATTTTTTCATTTTTAAAATTGATATGTCTGTTACTTAATTTATTTGCTGCATGAAGTCCTTCTCTCTCTTGGTAATTTTGCAATTTGCTTAAAAAGTCCCACTTGATTAAATTACCGGCCGGATCTTGTATTGTATTTTTGTCACAAAATGTATTTCTAATTAATTTTAACATGTGGCACGCGTCCCACATAACATAAATCTTTTCCTTTGTAGTGGGATGATATATGTACCTACGGTTTAAATGTCTGTCCATATTTAAAACAAGCCCCTAACTCTGTGCACATAGCAATATTTACAGCTGCACCATCAAATGTCAATGAATATATTTTTACATTGCTTTCATGACACAGTTTCAAACAATGTTGAATTAAATTTGAACGCTGTTGTGCATCTAACGAGCTTATTAAAAAATAACCCACTGGTATCTTCCAATTACTGTTTAATGACACTAACATCAAAACTAATACATTTCTTGCTTCTGGAAGATAATCATCCTCATTACAATAATTTGTACCAATATGCACAAACCCATGAAATTGTTTCCCATCCCATTCAACTTTTTGCATAATCGCCATTTCATCTACCACTAAATTACATATGACATTATTATTTTTACTATGTAATTGCAAAACATCAAAGGCTTCTTTAGTAAATCCTGGTTTGGCATCTACTACTGTGTACCACTTCCGCAACGTTGCAGGGTGTGGCAGTACATTTTGAAATGTTTTCCGTACATAATTATAAGCTTTGGAGGAATAAAACTGTAAAGTTAAGGCAAAAGCACGGAGACTAGGAGAGTATTTTTTTGTTGTCGGATTTTGTAACTTCCTTGTCACAATTTGCTGCAACGCATCAGATGACAAATTCTATAAGAAGTTTTGTTATTTTGTTTGTAAAAGTAATAGGTAGCACTATACCATAAGTAGATCTTGAGTATTATTTGTAATTAACTTCTTGTTTCTTAAATGAATCAGCAAACTATTCATATTAGTGACTTTTAACTGGAGCCGCTTATTTTTTTGCTTCAGTGCTTTAATTTCTAGCCGTTGATTTTTAATTGTGGTAACAGCAGAGAACCAAAAACGTTTCCTGCGTCTTGGCGACTCCAAATCTTCTACACGAACGTCACCTATGTATCTTGCATTGTAAATTCTTCTTCTCTTAGTGGGAATTGGGTATAGACATCTGCAATGGAATGTAATAGATATAGAGCTTCTAATAATCAGTTCTTTACTTGCCTTTGGTCACTAGTTGATGTAGATGGCTCACATTCTTTAGAAGTTACATCAACGGCAGCTACCATCACAGTATTGAACCTTGATTCACCACTTGTATTAGCATTTACTATATTTACAAAATCTGTGCTAGCTCAAGAAAACCATATTAAAATAATACTGATTTTATGGTTCTTTCAGTTGAAGTAATAGGGAACTTGAGGAATGTTTTATACGGATTGCATTTTTTAAAACTAAAGCTCCCCAAGGCCAGGGGTCCACCTGATCGGCCCGACCAAAATCGAACCAATGTTAAGTAAAGCGTGTTTACTGACATGATTTCTGTCGGCACAGTGTTTACAATCTACCGATGCAAGTTGTGCCTCAATATCACATGCACGATCTTTATCATTAGTTTCAACAGACCATTTGGAATGAGCTTATCACAAACGTAAACCCAAAATATGGTGGACATCTATAATCACGGTTTTAGTTGTATCAATCCCAAATGGCTACAAGTGTTGATCGGGCTAACTCGTCGAGCCGATCCGGTGGACACTCCACCTTACAACGACTACAAAAATTGATAAAGCTGCTTAAATGTACAAAATAGACATGTAGCTCCACTAAATTTACTTACGATGTGGAAGGTGCTTTAGTCACACTTATTATATTGCTTGTGTCAATATTTTCATTACTTTGAGTGGATGCAGAGGATTGGATTACATTTGCGTTGCTGCTGAAGATGAAGGATTTTCCCAATTGAAATGATTTAGATCTGAAATAATGACCTTTTTAAAAGACACTTAGTTACCGTAGTCAACTTACGATTTCACGATTCTTGTCATATTTTGTGATGGTACAGCGGTCGATTTTAATAAGCGACTACCTGTAGTGTTGTACACTTGAAAATCTTCAATGGTAAAATGTTTAGAGCACAATTTAGCCTGTTTCGGAATAGTACCAGGTAGTTTACATGCTTGCAGCCACAGTGAACGAGAATCTTGGTTCTTTGGAAATCTAATCACATTAAAAAGCTTTTATTTATGAAAAGATAAGTATAATTATATTGGAATATTTAGTTAAGTAATACAAAGATTAATATGCCTGTGCTATTTTTAGGTTATAAATAATTTACTCACCCATGAAACGAAATAGAGCTTCCTTTTACGTAAGGTTCGTTACACAATGCGCAAATCATTATAAAACGATTATGAATATGTAAAAATCCAATACGTACGACACAAATAACATAAAGAAAATTAATATCTATTAATGCACGTCACTGATTAAGTTGTCAGAAACACGACAGGTGGGTGATTTATGCGCAAGTACGTTGAAAATTGTGAAAAAGAAATTGTCTATCTTTGTCACAAATGATGGCACAAAATTTTGAGCGTTTGCTTCATCTAGGGAGTATGTATGATCGAAGATAAGCACACACAGGAAAAATATAAAACGGCATAAAATTATTCTAAAGTAGAAATATCCAGTACTGCAAACAGAAATAAATCTTTGACATTAGCAGTTAATGACACTTCCAACAGTTTAGATGGCAACAGAAACTACCAGCTTGCAAAATTCGCCACTCGTTTTATGTTTCAGCGTAATACTGACTCGTGTTTTAACCAATCACACTGAAGGTCAAAGCTTCCCTATACTTTTTACCGCTACCTTCTTAAAATGAATACAGGTATAGGACCTCTTGAACTGACGAATCTCAAACATAAAATATTATTATGGCCCACTTTTCTTCTTTAAAGTATGGTTCAGAGTAATCCAAAGCTTTCTAGTTTTAGTGTCCTTCACAGAGTTCAGTGGCTCAATGTCTTTGCGGAACTCGTTAAACCCCTGCCACAGTATCACACCATTTTAACTCTTTCCAAGGCCTTCTAAGCTTAATCGAAACTCGCCCATTTTCTGGAAAGCCTTATACACGAGTCGCAGATTGCATTCAAGGTACAGTTGATAGCTTTCCAGATCTCTCTGAACCTGAAAATTCCCAAATAACATTTAAGAGACTGTGGAAAACGTTAGGGCCTCTGGAAAGCTGAAAAACCCTTCCAAGAGTCTACAAGTATTCAGAGCATTTAAGAGCTTTAGTCATTTTCCATAGCAGACCAACTCCAATTCAATGTGACTTATTGCGATGACCTTAAGAATATGATTTTAGACTTTATTTTACATAATATTAACAAGTTCCCTAAAAAGCACAAGCCCTGTATACAAGAATCAATGCGTAATGTATCGTTAACATTCCAAAACAAGTTAAATAATAAAATATACAGACATTTCCTTCTAAACAATTTATAAATGTAGCTAGATATTATAAATAATTTAATGAAGCTTACATATGTATTAGATATCATTTAAAATTCGCAAATACGATTAAACTATTAAAAAATAACATTCAATATTGTATGTAAACTAAACATTCTAACTACTCATGTAGCACCAAATTAGCTCAATAAATGCCTTTAAGCTGTATACACTTGCTTTTTTATCTACATTAACCAGGTAGTTAACCAGATTTAGATGAAGTTAAAACTACTAGAGGCACACAACCTACGAAACGTGGTAGGTTTCTAGTTATTCCAAATTTAAGGCCACACATTCGAAATGTACATTTCCATAACATTAACAATATATGAGTACAATTTTGCTAAATTAAAGGTCTTTAGTTAAATGTTAAAAAATTATTGCCGGGTGACCTTTGAAATTAATATTTAATGATAGAATACAAGATTATATAAGCGAATGTTAATAAATTATGACACATAGTGAACATCACATTCTAAACCCACTTATAATTGATAAAATTACCTCCTCATAAATTAAGATTTAAATATTGCTAAAACGAAAGTAAAGCTAATTGAAAATGAAGCGTGAAGAAATAAAAAAGTTACATGAAATTTTTCTTAGCACAATCGGGACATATAATATCATCCGCATCAGTAATAAAACCACGTCCGACAAGGCTCGTACGGCAATTGGCGCAATAAAAGCAATCGTTGTGCCAATGCCTGTCCTCGAACGATATAAACTTCGTACCTCCGATACCAGTAATTGGCTTATTACAAGACGTGCATCTCTTAGCAAACAGTTCGCCGAAACATTCGGCGCAGTACGGCTTGTCATCTCGACTGGTAAAGCGAGCGCCGGCCAAGCTGGTATTGCAGTTGGTGCACGTGAAGCATTCTCTATGCCACGGTTCGTTCTTGTAAGTTACACCTCCGCTTGTAATCACCTAAAAAAGATTGTAATTTAAATGTGACAAACAATTTCAGTTCGAGTACTACCTTATTGCACTTGATGCAACGAGTGGCGTACTTATCCTCGTAGCACTTGGCGCAGTAAATTTCCTGCTCCCTCGGAATGAAGCTCTGGGTTCCAATGGGAGTTTTACAGACGTTACAACAGAAACACTTCTCGTGCCACTGCCTTGTTTTATATTCCATCTTCTTAGTTCCTAAAACAAAATGGCCACATTTTATTCTGCTGTTAATAGTAAATAGATGAATAGGCAGTTGCATCATTAAAATCTGAAATAAACTTCTGTTAATTTTTTCTTGTATTTTGAATTTTTGAACATAACATTAATGTATTTGCCAATGTTTTAACCAAAAAAATGGTAAGGTACCTAGTCGTCAGGAAAGTAAGCACATTTTTGGTGTTACAGATCAACAAAATTTTAATGCTATAGAGTAATTACGCTACTAAAAATAACGGCAAGCATCCAGAATAAATTTACTCAGTATGCCCTATAACGCTAAGTTTTAAAAAAAACTATCCAAATAGGTAGGGAGTAAATAATGGATAAGAAATGGTTGTGTTTAGGATGTAATCCTGTTGTGTAATTCAATCCTAGATACATTAGAAAACAGTTGTTATAGTTTCCATAATTAGTTTTAAAACCAATAAACCCTTTACAATGGGCCATATGAATAAAAGGAAGCAAATGCTTATACTTACAAAATTCAAAGTAAATACTCGTAACTGCCCCTTCATACTGGTCTGTTTAGCAGCGCTGCACTGCGTCCTGTCCTGCTGCTCAGCAGCGCTGCTAAATCGCCCAGTGTGAAGGAGCAATTACGAGTATTTACTTTGAATTTCGCAAGTATAAGCATTTGCTTCCTTTTATTCATATGGGCCAATAAAGCGGGTATTTAATTGATCCAAAAATTGAATCAATAATATACTATGTGTGCTATTTTTTACTATTTACTCTCTAGACTGTATGGCACAAAAAAGTAATGATGCAATGACTAATAAAAGAAATCGGATTATTATAATTGTTTAATAAAAACCAGTTATAATGAACAGACATAATTTTGTTAATTAATTCATAAACAAGGAAAGTTCAAATGTGAATCTTTTTTACAATTAATTACGACATGTGACCCCCCACTTCTTACTGTGTTTGTTGATTAGGTATAATTAGGTATATTTAATTATGAGATTGATTGATAGTTGATTAAAACGTACGCACTTGAAATGATGACTTTAATTTTTATAGCACGGTTTTAGGTCTGCAATTACATTTTTTTGGTAAATCGTTTTAGAATAATTAAATAAAGGCCATACAAATGAGCACAGCATTCTGAGGAATAGGATTTAAATTTTGATGAGAAATAACAATTTAATTATAGGTTATTTGGCCTTGCTCGATTTTATTATTTGACATAGACCTAGAAATTAATCTAATCTAGTCTAATTAGATATTTAACAAGCAGGACGAATATTGCAGTTTAAATGCACGTCCCGATACCGTTTTTCCCCCACATCTGAACTACTCCAATAAAGTTAGTTCACAAAGCTGCTCATAAGCAATACCAGGTCTGATTCAAATGTTTCAATTCTTACCAATGTAGTTTCATAAGAGAAGCGTCCTCTCTAGACTAGTTTGCCCATATCCATTACAAGGAGGCTGACTCTCTTATTAATGATTTTCTCTTTAGTCAAACCCTTTCTCGCAGATAAATTGTGTACAAAATGAATGGATGAGGACAGGAACCAAAATGTTCCATCCATGAATAACAAGACGACTTGACAACCCAGCTTGACTCTTAAGACCACCCGACTTTAACTCACTGACCCAATTTGAAGCGTTGACCCTACATGCCCGCCAAGTCATCTTAACCCGCGCACTGTATTTAACTTATTAGAATCCTGATCAATTTAAATAAGTTCTCCTCAGTGAATGATATCGACATTTTTCACAATCCCCTAAATGTAAATCAAATTAAATCTTAAGCCCTAATGTATAGGAAAAAAACGGAAAAATCACCACGTTAGTATAGCACGCTAGGGGATGGCGCCCATATGTCGCCGACCCCACGTCATGTAGCCCCTTCCCTAATTTTGTTAATTAATTAGATCTTCTAATTTTGTTAATTAATTAGATCTTAAGCCCTAATGTATAGGAAAAAAACTCAAAAATCACCACGTTAGCACGCTAGGGGATGGCACCCATATGTAGCCGACCCCACGTCATGTAGCCCCTTTAAACGCAACACCCTGTATATCTTGAAGTCAATTGTTTGCCATTTTTTTCCTGATTACATTAAGATATCTTTTTTTTTTATTTTAGCAATGAAAACCTTATTTTTTTACTGTTTTTAAATTTAAATAGTAAACGATGTTGTTTTGTTTATTGTATCCATGGTAATTAAGACAGCTGATACCAATCAATAAAAATTGTTAATGATACAAACATGTCATTTCAAACAACATGATAAAATATGTCATAGCCGCGTATATGCCCATTTATTAGAAAAATGAAATTTTGGACGTATAACTTTATTACGCTGTTATGTACGTCGGGACAGAAGAGCGTATGATTCATTAGCTTAATAAATTTAAAAAAATTTTTTAAATAATACAAAATACAGTGCGTTTGAGATAAGAGGGCCACCTCAATTTTATATTTATGTCTTATATATTTGGAAAGAGCAATTAATTTCCTGTACAACAACATAACATATGGATATGGTTGATATACAAAAAATGCAAGTCCGTTCTGCACATACGCGCACATAGTTTTCAACATGGACTCTACGTTTGTCTTAGAGTTAACATTTCACAAAATATTGAATATACTTTGGGCCTTATCAAGCGCAATAGCCAGATTCGAATTAAAGGTTTTGTAGGTCCTATACCATTGGTTCCCATTAGCCACAACGTAATAAAATGCGGCCATGTTGCGTATTTAAAAAAATAGTTAAGCATACATATTATGTTGTATAGAAATTTAGTAATTTGTACATCGTAAAGTAGCTTTCGAATTAACGTGACGGTTATGCTTTTTTTATATTATTAATTTGTACGGACGATTCGTTGTCGATCAAGATTATGATTTTGTTTAGTTAACGTCAATTGAATTATTGATTCTTATTGAGTATTAATTACGGTTTGTAGTATTCGAGTACCCGAATATCAAACGCGTTTTCACGCTCATGCAATTTGCGCAAATTGACTTGTGCATGCCATTTTGTGCAAGTAAATTGGTGCATGAAAACGAAAATTGTTTACTTGCGCAAGCCAGAAAATTTGGCTTGAGTAAAATCTGGATGGCCAGATAATTTGCACGTGGTTGGTGCAAATGCATGAACGTGTAAACGACACACCAATTCGACGCATGCGTAGTAGTCGAGTAAAATTAGACTAATATTTGCTCAAACCTAGAACAAATTCGGGACAAGCAACCGATGTCCGAAATTAGTAGTACCAATAATGCTCTTTAACATACTAAAAGTCCCCATATGTCCGAGGTGCGGAACATCCTGAAAATTGCGCCGCCATCTTGGATTTTCATGTTTTTTGCTAATAACTTTGTTATTATTATTTTTTTCGGAAAAAGTTAGGAAAGGGAATTTGTGAAGCTTTAAAATACGAACCCAATGCTTCTTTATTTCTCGAAATCGATTGGAAACTAAGGGAGTTATGATTTTTTTATTGTATAATATATATCACTATACACGAATAACTTCGCGAATAATTCGATTTATCCGATAGGCGAAATTCATTGGAACTTTATAGACCAAAGAGTCAAAGACTAATTAGGTATTCTTTATCGGTTCAACAATTTTCAGTCCAAATTTTAGTTTACCGCCCCCTCCTGGGTAATATTTTCAAATAACTACCGAATGGATGAGCTTCTCAAACAAGGAGAAGCATTTATATTGAAGTGGTACGGTGCCAAAAAATGCAAAACGCTCGATGACTACCGGTACATCAAGTACAACCAAGTCGTGGCAAGGCAGAATCTCATTACCAATTTCGAGCTAGCAACATTACCTTCTACATCGCATGCTGCTAGATTACATTTGAGACGGGTGTATCTACAGGTCCAGAATTGGATGGGTGAGGAATTGAACCCTAAAGAATTTGGCTGATTTACGAATCAAAACAATGTCTTGGAGCCCGTAAGAATGGAAAAACCCTGTGGACTGGATCTCATTTTGAAAATGCTGTTTTGCGGTTGGAAAGAATCGTGTTCTAATTTTTGTAGGAAGTCGGGGCTCAAATGCACTGCATGTTGCAGGAATCCCGCCTTCATTTTTTATTTCTGATCCACAAAGTACATTAAAAATAAAAAGACCCGTGTGTCTTCAATTTTTATTTGCGAGTAAAATAAACCCAAAATAAATTATTGAAAAGCTGTGTTTTTAGTCCGAATTTGAAACGCTTCAGACTAAATACGTCACAAACCTACAACCAATCACGTAGAAGTGAGCTGGCAACCTTCGCGAGGGTCTGACGTTTGTCACTTTTGACGTTTTGAGAGGGATGTTTAACTGCATCTAGCACGAAAGTGACAAGTGCCTGTGACAGATGACGCAAGTTACAAATGCCATTCTCCTGCAATATTGCCAAGTCGTTATGTCATCTGAATGGTTCTAGGAGCTGATTGGTCGGGCTTATTACGTCACAGAGCCCGCCACAATCATATCGTTTTGAATAAACCTTTTAAAACCGCACATGTTCATTATTTTATTGCTAATCAGCCTCTATTTTTAAATAAACTTTTACTGTCCAAAAAAATGATTTATGGTTTCAGGTACACGCTTATTAAATTAGAACTGCGGAATTCAACTATACTGTAAACCCCCATTGTACTGGAAATTTTTGCGGCAACAGCTTAGACCCAGAAAGTGATGATGCTGAACCTTAACCCTAAATTGTCCATTGCAAACAAATATACGTTAATCATGCATCGTTTAGTTTTTTAATTAGTTAAGATCAATCTACTTATACAGAGAAAAGGGGGATGAAGCGAGGGCAATCGGGCGGGGAGGGCGGGAGGAGGGGGAAGTAAGGGTAGGGGGGGATATCACACATATCTCCGCTCATGTCTGGGGGAGGGAGGAGTGTTGCTCTGTCGTATAGTAGGTATACACAGCGAATGCTGTATAGTGCGATTATTGATGCAATAAAAAAATCATAACTCCCTTAGTTTTCAATCGATTTCGAGAAATTAAGAAGCATTGGATTTGTATTTTAAAGCTTCACAAATTCCCTTTCCTGACTTTTTCCGACAAAAATAATAATAACAAAGTTATTAGCAAAAAACATGAAAATCCAAGATGGCGGCTCAATTTTCAGGATGTTCCGCACCTCGGAGGTATGGGGACTTTTAGTATGTTACAGAGCATTATTGGTACTACTAATTTCGGGCATCGCTTGCTTGTCCCGAATTTGTTCTAGGTTGAACTCTAATTTTACTCGACTATAGACGGTGAATAATAATAAACAGAATTGCTGTTCCGACGTGCACGTGGCTTTAATAGCCTGTGTTGTACGTTATTTTGTGTTTTGTTTGTGATAATAATGTCAAAGAAAGAAAAAGAGTTCATGGTACAGTTTATTGAGCTTTATAAATTCTTTCCTTGTCTTTGGAAAGTTAAATCCAAGCAGTACAGCGATAGAAACGACGAAAGCCACAGGCGTATGATAATCTGATTGAAAAAAATTAAAAAATGCGCACACTTGAAGAGAGTGCAAATAGGGAAACTGTGATCAAGAAAATAAATTCCTTGAGAACGACATACAGGAAAGAATGACAATCTGAACTGTACTGTGGACAAATTTGTGCACCAACGTGAAAATGGATGCATGAGTTCAGTGAATTTGCACAAATTAGCATGCACAAGTCAATTTGCGCAAATTGCATGAGCGTGAAAACGCAATATTTAGGTGCCATGCTATTCACTGCCCTTCTTGTTTTTTTATGTTTTTAACTGTTACAGACAAGGCAAAAAGCGTACTTCTAAGCTCGGAAAGGTTGTTTGGACTTGTACTTGAAAGGCCTGTTTTGATACTGATAATAATTTTACAGACTACGAGTTGCTCCCTTTTTTTTTGCAAAAAAATTAAGTTAAATTTCAACGTTGACATTTCAGATCCAGATATTACAGTGTCCTATTTGTAATATTTTGAGATCATTTATGAAATTACACTCGATTATGACCACTATTATTGTTTATGTTCTACCCTGTCAATTATTTTATTTCTTTAGCCTATCAAGACCAAATCAAAGATCTGTTAATCTGCCTTGTTCCCACTGTCGGTAAGTATTCTCTTTTGAAATTTACTAAAGACTAAGTAGCTATTCCATAGACGAGGGTCGTGCATTTTGCAAAAATTAAAATGTGCCACACTAACATTTGCCCGTCCGTCCGTCCACGTTAGTGTCTCAGTACTGCAGTCAGTTCATTTATTGATCAATTTCGCCGGGAAAACGGCAAAATAAATCGTATGCTCTTCTCATCTTAATGATTATTTACAGGTGCTGTTGTACGACCTATTGCGTGACTTATTTGAAATATCTGCGGTATATCGGCAGTTAAAATTCCATCTGTCACTAAAAAATGCCAAGAGAAGTGTAATTATTCTTGGAATAATTCTTTGATTTATCCAATTATCGAATGAAGCTCTGTACCTCTTGAGATGTATCTAATTGCGTCGCGGTCACTAACGAACGCATCTTTTTATTGTGGAAATGAACTAATCGGCATATATTATGATTCATAAGTATTTATAAATATATTTTTTTTTTCGGTTTGGGAGGATATTGGGAGGTAACCTTGACATTATTGTACTACTATCCTGTGCCACCTTCGTGGGTCGCGTGACCACAATGCATCAACGAAATTTCATTTATTATTTATATCGGGAGTGGTTTCATTTGACACCTGGGCCCATCCGAAATAATTACAATGGGCAATTTAATTATATTTTTTGGAGCGGACTGTATGAGCAATAAATTGTCGCGCTATTCCCGTAAAAGTATAACGTGCATATTAGGTGCTATTTACTCATCCTGTTGCTGTAATTAAACGTAAATTGAAACCACAACATATTACCAAATATGGAAGAAGTCCGTTAACCTTTTCCACATGACACATATAACTACATCCCGATTAGGCGTTACGCTACTTCCATCACATGGGACTTATTTTCAAAAATTGTGCGGAAGTTTAGCGGAAAGTAGTAATACTCAAAGTGAGTTATTTTAATTGGTCGCGTAAATTTTTCGGCGTATCCGTAATCCGTAAAAAAAAATGAAATCCCACCTAAAGGCAGTAATTTAGCATCTCCCATTAAACACTCATCTCCCAAGCAGCACGCGAATGTCTTTTTCTCCCCAGGCAAGTCCATCGACAAAATAGCCACATCCTCGTTGCGTTCTCTTGCGCGCCGAATTCGGTCCTCACCAACAGTCTTCGTTCGCAGATTAAGCGACTTTAACTGATCACTTAAAACGCCCGCCATTATATCCGCAAACTCATCACAATGAACCAAACACACCCCGAACGTCAAAACGCGCACGAAATCAACTTTTCAAATAATTATTATTATGCGGTCTCCTCACGGCGATGTCTTTAAAAGAACTACGTTGGTCGGTACCAGGCAAAACTAAATCGAATAAACATTACAAGCCTTGCAAGGCTGAATTGAACTGA